GGTAGCTGTTGAATGGACACATCAGTAAGATGAAATAAGAATGCTGAGGTGTGAGAGACGAGCGCACGACCCTGACACATACACCAGTTCCTTGGGGGCTGTGCAACATACACAGCACTGGGTCAGTGGAGGGAGAGGTGCTCTGAGAACAAGGTAAGCCGGGAGCTCCTGAGTGCTTAGCCTGGCTCTGATACTGACATAAGCGACTCCCTCTGATTCCTGCTTACCTAAACCTTTGCCTTTTGGAGAGAAGGCAAGAAAGACAGTGGTGCTTAGAAATAAACCCCTGTCCATGCCAGGCAGGGGCCACAGAACCCTGCTAGAATCACCTGTGAGCGAACAGACCTGTAGCTAGCACCGTCCTGGTCCCACCATGGGCAGGGCTGGGAGGGATGAGACAAATGACTGACCCAGCTGGTGTCTATGCAGAGGGAGGGAATATCTCCTGGCGGGCAGGAAGGATGCAGTGGGGGAGAACGGCGGAAGAGGGGTAGAGTGGCAGTGAACGAAGGGGAGAGATGGTAGGAAACTCACATTTGAGCATTTTCACGGCCACTCGCATCGTGGATTGCGAATGGCTCAGGCCATGGGTCGTTGCCTCCACCACTCGGCCAAAGGCTCCGGATCCGAGAGTGCGCCCTGCAGCAAAACACCAGGGAGATGCAGATTTCAGCCGCAACAGGGCCAGATGGGAGGGGCCCACAAGGCAGCTGCTCAGAAAAGGAAAGACAGCAGCACCGCACACCCACGGCAATCGCAGCAGGGAATGGCGGTACCTGGGAGTTATGATGTCTGTGCCAGGGATGATTTCCGCCTGGCTGGGAAGCGCGTTAATAAGGAGGAAAAGCCCAAGGGTCTTTCCCAAACAGAACTGTAGCGATTCCAGATGTGGTCACCAGGGGTAGCACTGTTTGACAATTCCATTCCCGCAGAGGTTCATTCTCAGAGATGCTTTATTCTGCCTGGTTTCCTTCTGACAGTTCAGCGATCATTTTGACCAGGACCTGGATGTATTGGCCCTGAGATTTCTAATGGGTCCTATCCCCTGCTCTCTGTTCCCCCATGCATGTCAGGACCAGGCCTACCAAAAGTTCCTGAACCCAAGGAAAGTCCTGGATGTTTCTACCCCACCCATATGCCCCCTGCTCTCTGTCCTGGTCCTGCTCTCCCAGCCCCACAGGCGGTTGTGAAGGGCTTCGAGATCCTCAGGTAAAGGGCTGTAGGACAATGGGGAATGCTCACATTGTTATTCCCACAATGGAAGCGGTTCTTCAATACTGAATGTGGGTTCTTGGAGGGTCCCATACGTGCTAGTGTGCTCCCCTTCTCTGGGGCTGCCTCTGGTGCTGGGAGCATGGCTAACATCACCCTGATGCTGCCCGAGAGGCTAGGCCTGCAATGATGCCTCTGAGCTGAATTCCTGTCTCTGATCTGCACAGCAAAGCCCCTGGTCCAGGCGGAGCGGAGAGAGAAGCATGGCCTAGAGGCAGGGCCACCGGACCTGACAGCTCTGCTGAATGTGCCCCACTAGCCCACCCCAAAGCAGGCAGTAGCCCACTGAATTCCCCTAAACGCTCTAAGGAACGCAGGCTCTGGGAGCGATCTGGATGTACTTCCCATGCCCCATCTCTCGGCGCTAAGAGCATCGGTGGGTCGGTGACACACACATCCCATGAAAGCGCATCTGTCGCACGCCTCCTGCACAGCTGGCCCTGGTCACAGGCTCACCCTCTGGTATTGGAGGCATGCTCTCCCTCTGTGGGGTCATGGATTTGTGCCCCGTTTTTTTACATCCCTTTCACTGAGTATCCCCTGGTGATTCCTGCAGAGCACACGGTACCTAGCACTAGCTTGTCCCTGGAGAGCTCCCAGCTGCAGTCGTAGGGGAGCTGCATGGGATCCACGTAGATGTACTCATGTCCATCGGAGCTGACCGACTCAATCACCTTCCAGCGGATTTCATAGCGAGGCTTCTGGAGAGGGGGAAGGGAGGGGAGAAGAGAGAGCTGAGAGAGGGGCTGTGTGGGAGGTGTCCCCTGCAGACAGTGACCCTGCACCCTCTGCCTCAGGGAGACATCCCAGCTGTGCAGTCACAGCTGCTGTCGCACGGGCACTCCTCACACATTATGGCCAGAGGGAAGGTCCGCTGCTGCACGTCACACCGGAGACCTCAGGGTGGCTGCCTGAGCCCGGTGGCACAGACGCCGGCTTCCTCCAGGCCCTGGGGGTGCTGAAACCCCGCTCTCTGCCCCAGGCCCTGCCCTCACCTGACCCCTTCCCCCAAGCCTCCCCCCCTCTTCCCGCCCCTGCCTCACATCTTCCCACCCAGTTATGCCCCAGACCCCACCCTCACCCCCACCCCACCCCCAAGTGCCCATCCCTGCGCCACCTCTTCCCACCTAGTTCTGTGCCCTCCCCCAATCATCCCCGCTTCTCCCTCCTCCCCCCCAATGCCTCCTGCACGCCACAGAACAGCTGATCGCTGCGGGCGGGAGGCACTGGGAAGGAGGGGGAGGAGTTGATCGGCAGGGCCGCCGGCGGATGGGAGGCACTGGGGTGAGGGGGGAGCTGGCTGTCTGTGGGTGCTAAGCATCCACTATTTTTTTTCCATGGGTGCCAGCCTTGGAGCACCCACAGAGTTGGCGCCTATGCCTGGTGGGCTCCAGCCCTGCACCAAGGAGCTAGAAGAGGGGGCTGTTCCGCAGCTGCCCATCACAGCCCGGCCGGGCCCTTTCAGTGCATGCAGTCAAAGGGAGGAGACCTCCCCACCTCCCAAAGTGGGAGACGGTGCTCGCCCTGACCTTCAGCCTCAGGACGATGAGGATCACCAGGCAGATGACGGCAAGCACTCCCACCAAGGCCAGGATGATTGAGATGATGATCACCTTCAAGGGCCAGCCTACAACAAGAACCACATGGAAAACAATCAGACGCCTCCAGCCCCACATGGCCTGGGGAGCTCAGGGCAGCCACTCGGAGAAACTAGCCAAGAGCGCCTCATCTGAAATGCCCCACTCTGAGACCCCGCCCTGTCTTGTCCCATAAGTCCTGCTCCCCCCTTCCTCTCCAAACCTCCCTGGACGACTTCAACCCCCGGCAGCCAGTGCTGGGTCTGGGGCACATCTTGGTCCTTTCATGTCATCCCTTGGAAACTGACAGGAAATGACCCTTAGCCAGGCCTCTGTGGTGTCCCCTGGCTGGCTTTACCCAGCCCTGACTCCCATGAGAAGTGTTCACTGATCCACACCAGCCAGGGATGACCCTGCCGAGGGCTCACCTGGGATGCCCAGAGAAGACCCTCTCCCTTCTCTGCTGGACTCAGGGTAACCCTGGACGATTATTCCCTGCTGTTAGAACTAGCCCCCCGAGGGGCCCTGGAAAGAGGCACAAACACACGGGGAAGGGGAGGCCTCTCCAGCAGGGTGCAGTGGGAAGGAATTAGTGGGGACGCTCCAGCCCCTTTGCTGCAGGAGAACTCCCCAGGGCCCAGAGGCTCTTGGAAGAGATTTGACCTCATGGGTGTGTACGGAGCCATGGGTAGTAGGAGGCAGCGGTCTCGCTCTTGGTGGGAGCTGGCCCGGCTGACCCGTTAGCCCAGAACGTAGGTTCTTTTTCAGTGGCCTAGCCTCATCCCTCTCACAGGCTATAAATGTGTATGTGGCTCCCCCTAGTGCCTGCAGCCTGGATAACAAGTTGCTAACATGAATGCTGGTGAAATACACTAAGGGTGATGCCCGCTTGCTAGCTGTTTGTGCAAACACCTGCTCTCCCTTCGCACTGACTCCATGTGGTCTGGCTCTGGCACATCCACCCCCTCCTGGTTTCTACACTGATGCTACTGCTCGGTGTCAGGACAGAGGACAGTACAACCGGATCGTGCAAAGAAAGGGATGTGTACATTTTACCCTTCGGACACAGACTCCAACGCAGGAGGCAGGAGCCCTGTGCCGGGAGAGGGAGGGGAGAAACAGGGATATTTTATCCAGATAGGCAAAGCATGCACATACCAGGCACTGAAGTTGCCTCATGCAGGTGGCACAAACTGTTGGCCACCAAGGGCTCCAGCTATGCTGCTCCATAAAGAGGCCTCTTCTGCTTGAACTAAAGGAGCAGGCTGCAGACACTAGGGGCAGCATAGTCCCCCGGCCTGGGCTAAGCTTCCACCCCACAGCACACAGACCTGCACGCGTGGGACAGAGCGGGTGCCAGCCAACTCACCGTGTGGGACCAGGGTGATGTCCTCAAAATCATTGCCCAGGAGATTCTGCACAGAGCATCTGATGAGCAGGTCTTGGTCCACCCTGCGGAGCCGCAGCGTGCTGTTCACTTTGTAAACCTTCAGCGTCTCGTGGTACATGGAGCTGGTCTGCAGGCTGATCTCCTCTGAGTTGTTCCCCAGGACCCTGGTGGGCTGCTCCTTGGTGCCGCACCTTCCAGTTGAAAAAGCCACACATGGGAGACAATCCCGGCTGCATGACGCTGTGGGATGCTGTATGATAGCTGTTCTATCTCAGCTCTTCGTGACCCTCCCTGTGCCCCACAAATACTTGAGGATAACAGCTCTTCCTCCAGTGAGCTTCCCTGCCCCGCTGACTTCCCTGTCGCTGTGTCTCTACTTGAACTGCCAGCACAGATCCCTTTATTCGTTCTCTTGCACCATCACTGATGAGCCAGGGGGACTCAAAGGGGACTCAAGTGAGCCACATCTCAGCTTCTGTTTTAAGGCACTTGTTCCAGCCCTTTTCCTAGTAAACAGTAAGTGACACAAACTAATGGCGAAGGCTGGAGGGAACAACCGCTGGGCTCCACTTCCCGCAGCACAACACTCAGCTCTGCTGGTATCTGCGCAGCTCCAGGAATGGAGATTTAGAGCAGTGCACTGCTGTGGCAGAGCCAGCAGGGGGAGCACCCACTGATTTTTGTGTGTCCCGTGAGAAATAATATCCGGGCCTCACAGAGGATGTTAGAAAACAAAAATGGGAGAGTCAGGATTGGTGAGGACAAGCTGCGCCAGTCTGCAGCAATAGGCCAAAGGTCAGCCCCTAAAGGACCTGATTCATATGTGCTGCGACTGCTGCCTATCATGTTGGCCAACAGCCTCCCGTCTGTCTGTCCATATTCACCTGTTGTCTCTTGACTTTCACTTAGCCTGGAAGCTCTCTTGGGCAAGGGCAGTATTTTTGTTTTGTGTCTGCACCCCTAGTGCACTGGGGTTCCCATCTGTGGCTGGCACTGCTAGGCACTATGGCAATACAAATAATAACTGAGGTGAAAAACCAGAGCTCTGTCTCCTTTACCCCACTGGCAGAGATCTAAACCCCTTCAGGGCTGACATTATGGAGCACTAACTAGACACACAAGTGCATCAATTACTCAGTAAAATTCAGTCCCAATTTTTCCCAACAGGAGACACAGTAAACGAGGTGTAGGAGGTCTGAGCATGGGCCCAGAGATGCCCAATTCCCAGTTTCTCACAGCTACAGGGCATGGTCCAGGAGCTTTGGGTGAGAGGACACCCACAACTGTCAGTCCCATCCTCACCCAGCAAGAGGTGCTTTATACACTTTTCCATGCCTGCACTGGGTCGCCAGGCCCCCTCACCCTTTGATGTCACTGCAGGTGAACCACATGAGCTCTGGCTGGGGCATCCCTTCAGTGAAACACGTGACGGTCTGCTCCCCACTGCTGGCATTGCTGTTCTCCTTCAGCCATAACACGTTGGCGGGCACTGGGAAGGGAAAAGAGAGTCATAGATTCATAGATTCTAGGACTGGAAGGGACCTCGAGAGGTCATCGAGTCCAGTCCCCTGCCCTCATGGCAGGTCCAAATATTGTCTAGACCATCCCTGATAGACATTTATCTAACCTACTCTTAAATATCTCCAGAGATGGAGATTCCACAACCTCCCTAGGCAATTTATTCCAGTGTTTAACCACCCTGACAGTTAGGAACTTTTTCCTAATGTCCAACCTAAACCTCCCTTGCTGCAGTTTAAGCCCATTGCTTCTTGTTCTATCCTTGGGGGCTAAGATGAACAAGTTTTCTCCCTCCTCCTTATGACACCCTTTTAGATACCTGAAAACTGCTATCATGTCCCCTCTCAGTCTTCTCTTTTCCAAACTAAACAAACCCAATTCTTTCAGCCTTCCTTCATAGATCATGTTCTCAAGACCTTTAATCATTCTTGTTGCTCTTCTCTGGACCATTTGCTTTGCCGGCGGGAGGGGAGCGATGGTCATGAAACGTGGGTGACAGCTGATCTCACTGGTGGGAGGAAAGCATCCCTAATGGAGCCATGCAAGGTCCCACTGTGTGTTTGGAGAGAGACTGCCAGGGGGCAGGAACCCATCTATGCTAGAGAACATGAGTGAAGGAAGTAGCCACCCTGCAGAGGGCCACGGAGGGGCCTGGGCTGGTGGCCATGTACACAGCCATGGTCCCTTCAGCAATAGTTGTACAATTTTAGGGCCCCCAGCTGCTGGAATGGAGGATGAGGGTGTCCCCTCCCTTGAATTCCACTGCTGGAGGCAGAGGGTGAGCTGGGGTGGTGCGGGCAGTAGGTTGCCCTCCCAGACTGCCCTGTTAGCTGGTGGGGGACTGGCAGGGAACACTTCGACACCTCAGATGGGCTGAGATTTAAGGGGCAAATTTAGATCCAGTGTAAGTGGGGTCAGATCCACT